CAAATGATACTTTGAATATTACATGTTAATAACTTGATTGGAATTATAACCTTGAATTGACAGTTTGATACTTTGAAAATTTTGAGCCAGCCCTACCCCCAAGGGCTGTAGGGTGGAGCTCAAAGGAGTCAGTGTGCTAAAATTTCTTTTACTTGTTAAGAATCAGAGGTGCTAGTTTTAAATCCTTTTTAGTCTGAAATCTGTATGCTAGATATTGAGTAAGGTGGTTTTATTGTTTTTTGTCACTTTGAATTATATTTCTGTTCATGTTAAAAACAAAATCAACTCTCTGTATAGATATATCAGGTGACCGTTAAGGCCCATGGGCCTCTTGTTGTATATTAAAACTACCTTAACACGCCAAATGTAATTTTATAATAAATAATGACGAGCTAAAGGAGGAACCAGATTGTAATAAAACCTGTGATAATTACTATATTTAATACACAGGTAAAAGTGTCTCAGTATATAAAGGTATATACCATATATAGCTGCTAAAACTTTACCAGCATTGTTAAGACACTATCTTATGAATCAGAATGTTTAAAGGGGCTGGTCGGGAAAAAATGTCACATTTGCTAAAATGGCATACACATGTTTAAAATACCTTCTTATGAAATATACCGATTCAAATTTTACTGAAATTCACTCCCTAAGAGTAAAAATTATAATTATATTAAAGAAATCCTAAATTGTCACCTGACAGTCTAAAACTCTCAATTGACCCAGATCAGTGATGTAATTTTACCGCACGCGTGTCATCAACAAGGCCAAATGTAAACATCGCGGCGAAAGAAAAAGATGCATGCAAAATTCATGACAGGCACGAGGTATCAGTACCGTTATATATAACAACAACATATAGGTAGGAATACTACACTTGCACCATACATGACCCTTGAAAACAATTATTTACGTATAGTATTGCTGTCCTGTCCGCTAGTTGAGTCCGACAGTGCACATGACGGTGTGCTATTGTTGTTATCTTCACTGCCTCACTTTCGAAACAACCACCTGACATATATAAATAGATCTGCGCTAAATTTACACGGGGCTTCCCCGAGATTTCAGTGGTCAAAACTGGACATTGCAAGCAGAACTCGACCATCATATTAACGTGGTATAACTTTTGGAAGGCCAGAGAACGCATTTAGACCCATTTATTTTGTATTTTTTCCCCGACCAGCCCCTTTAAAATTAAGCATCAAAACTTTTAATTCATAAGTAATAAAGTAGACATTGATGAATCATTTTACTTGTAGAAGAAATAACTAGTGAAAATAATGTGTCAGAGCTTAATTTTATTTGAGAATTATTTCTTCCTGACAGTTGAATGTAAAGCCTGCTTTAGCACAGAAACAGTAGCTGCTGACACAGAGGTACAGCTGGAAGTCTACATCAGGTAGGTACACTGAACAAGTACTGACAGAGGTACAGCTGGAGGTCTACATCAGGTAGGTACAATGAACAAGTACTGACAGAGGTACAGCTGGAGGTCTACATCAGGTAGATACACTGAACAAGTACTGACACAGAGGAACAGCTGGAAGTCTATATTAGGAAGGTACTCTGAACAAGTACTGACACAGGTACAGCTGGAGGGCTACATCAGGTAGATACACTGAACAAGTAATGACAGAGGTACAGCTGGAGGTCTACATCAGGTAGATGCACTGAACAAGTACTGACAGAGGCACAGCTGGAGGTCTACATCAGGTAGATACACTGAACAAGTACTGACACAGAGGTACAGCTGGAAGTCTATATTAGGAAGGTACACTGAACAAGTACTGACACAGGTACAACTGGAGGTCTACATCAGGTAGGTACACTAAACATGTTCTGAAACAGAGGTACAGCTGGAAGTCTATGTTAGCTAGGTAGGTACACTAAACATGTTCTGACACAGAGGTACAGCTGGAAGTCTATATTAGGTAGATATGCTGAACATGTATCTACTTTCAGTTAAATTTCATTGTGTTGATGAATAAAAGATAGGTCACTAGGTTATTCATAACAAGTTTGTGTGATTGTTGTTTCTAAATGTAGTTGGTCCTTTTTGAAGGTATCAAATTTTTATTCAGATTATGTGTGTTATTTAGTGTATACTTCCTTGTGTACTGGCCTGATGTCATGTTTAACACTTGATTTATTTCAGAGTGAACTGTCAATTTCCTGTGAGGTTCAGCAAATTGTCTGTGTTCCTGAACAACCAAGTAAGTGTCAGTTTCTCTGTTCAGCTCATTGCACAACCTTCACGAAATTTTGTTAACTCTACTCCCCTAAATTACTGCACCAATCTTACTGCAACTTTGCACACATCCTACACCCATCGCACAAACCCATGGGTGTGTCCACCATGTTGTTTTATTGACTACAGTGTATTGCAGTGTTCAGGACCTAGGAGGAGGGGGGAGGGATGTGATAGTTAACCTCTGGATTACAGTTCTAGTTTTCCCTTCTGAAGTATAAGATTGTTACACCTAAAACAGAAAGTAGACCCATAAATAATTGAACTGGTGTATATCATTATATACATAATAATAATAATAATTTGAGGTTCTTATATACCGCATTATCACAACCTAGTTCGTAGGTCGGCTCAAAGCGGTTCACAAGTTATTATCCGTGGTTATAGGGCCTTTGCAACCAGCCAATATCTTTCTCAGCTCCCTGGGAAGCATACAGCCAGTGCTGCCATTACGGCTCACAGCTAGCATTCAACAATTCTAGCACTGCCCAACCACATACTCGTTTACAGCTGAGTAGACTGGAACAAGCAGAGTAAAGTACCTTGCTCAAGGTAACAATACAGTGCCGTGACTCGAACCCACAACCCTTCCTACCACTAGACTACCGCGCCTCCTATTCATACATTCATATTATCAAAAAATTTATAAAGTGTTAGCTTGACAGTAATTAGGTCCATCAGTCATTTATCATGCACTTAAAATACCCATATGTGTCTTGCCTGTCTTTTAAATCAGTCTCTGGATATACTTCTGGCATACTGTAAAATCTTGACATGGGTGCGACCCTCCGGCTGTCCAAATACTGCCCACAGTGTGTTATCACTCCCTATGCCAAGTGCCCATATATCCATTTCACCCATGTAAATCAGCTGCAGGTGTTGACCACAGCTGTTGATAAGGTGGAGACAGCCGTTCAAGCAGTCCCCAATCACAAGGTTCCCTACACTATCATACTGGGCATCAGTGGGGCTGAAGGGAAACCTGGTCGTCTTGATGGTTTCTCCCTGCTGAAGCTGCATGTCTCTTTTGTAATGGAGAATTTCATTGAAACATTTGTCAGTCATCAATACATAACCTTTGTCCTCCCCACAATCCTCTACTAAATCCCAGTCAACCACAGCTACTAAATCCCAGTCAACCACAGCCACTAAATCCCAGTCAACCACAGCTACTAAATCCCAATCAACCACAGCTACTAAATCCCAATCAACCACAGCCAAATCGCCAGTAATGCTTCACTCTGTGATTCTGTATGGTGTATATACTAACAGTGTTTCTGGGGACGGTATTGTTGTGAGGACAACTTCTCCATCTTTCTTGAATTTTGTGATTTTGTTGGACATTCCAACAATGATATGTTCATCCTTTGTGACACATAGACAGTAAGGTTTGGTCTTGGTATGGAACCTGAGAACAGGCTTCCCTGATAATAGGCAATACTCTGTGATGCTGCAGTCCTCCTCAGAACAGGTGCACACAACGTTGGTGTTCAGGGACATACTGATATCTGTGATCCCTGTTTGGTACTCAGCACTGTATCGCACCTGACCAGTGTGATCTAGTAATGAGATCATGTTACAGAGGACGTCACACACCCAGACCTCGCCACCAGGTACTCAGCACTGTATCGCACCTGACCAGTGTGATCTAGTAATGAGATCATGTTACTGAGGACGTCGCACACCGAGACCTCACCACCAGGTGCTGGCAAATACTGCTGACCTCACAGGGGCACTCAAACTCTGTCACCACCTCGCACTGCGACAGAAGATCATACTGAAAGGATGGCAATGTGCTCACTGATTCTGGCTGTTGATCACGGAATGAATGTACTGTAGACTGGTCAAGATCAAAGGAGTCTTCTGCTGCAGGTGACGGGTCAGTGTTGAAGATATCTGTGTACATTTTTAGATCAGGGTCAAAAGACTGATCATTAAGGTCAGTGGATGTGAGATCTTGATGATGAAGTTCAGTCACCTTACTCAAACCAAACACTTTCTCCAGATCTGCCTGTGGATATTTGTTCACTCTAAAACTTGATATTGTGTGCAGGGTAGGTTTTACTGGCATTCTCGATGTCAAACATCTGAACATCTTCCTGTAGAAGTTTTTTACGATCTTTGTAATGTGTTTTCAGATTTCCAAGTCAATTTTGAAGTTCCGTTGTATATGTGTTCATCATCTTGACATTGTCCTCTTGAAGCTGTTTATAAAGATGTGTATACTTATTAGTCAGCTTGTCCGTTCCTTGCTTCATTGTCTCCCCTTGGATTGCTACTTTTCTGATGAGTTTTGTGAATGTCTCGGATCTTTCCTCCAGTTCTTTGTCTGCAGTAGTCTTCTCCTTCCTAACAGCATTTTTGTTTTTTCCAAACTCGTCAACAAAAACCTGGAGCTTTGTTTTCCGGTCCGGTATGATATCATTGAGGTCACAAACTTTATGTCCTACATGTACACTAGAACGACACTTGGGGCATGCCAGTTCTTCACAGGATGTACAGAAAAACTTCAATTTCTTTCTCTGATGATGAACACATGTCACTTGACCTTTAACCCTCATAGGAACTGGTTTTACAGAGGAGGCCATTGTTTCCAATTGTCACTGATCAAAACCTTGTCCAATGTCTCTCCATGACTGCAGGAGACTATATATGATAATCTGCATGTGACTATACTAACATAAGCAGTTATATCTGATATAGGTATCTGTCTGTGTGTGTGACACAGTGAAATACAGGTGTGACTATACAAATACACGTACTGATTATAAAATGTTGTATGAGTTCACTTGTCAGCTTTGTGGTACACCTAATAAAAAGTTTGTTAAAAAAGACAAACTTGCATCTCGAAACAATATACCAGGTACATTCTCTAAATTACAATACAGTGGAAGAAATTTATGTTAATTACTACTTATTCATTTTTTATACGCCCGTCAAAGACGGGGACGTATTATGTTATCACGTGAGCGGGCGGTCGGGCAGGCGGGCGGGCGGGCATGTAAACGATGTCCGCTCGATATCTCAAGTAATTATTAACGGATTAACTTCAAACTTCACAACAAGGTTAATTACCATGAAACCTCGGACAAGTTCGATAACCGCCATTATCCGACCATAATTTGTGGAGTAATGCCCCTTTATGGACTTGCCGAAACAGTGTCCGCTCGATATCTCGAGTAATTATTATTATTATTCCCCTTGGTTTCATTCATGATGCCACTTACTTATATGGATAAAATCTGGGATATGAACCTGGAAAAACCTCGGGTCTGTATGATATCTAGCTCTATTGTATATAGACCTTATGTAGGACGTCTCCTGAAACCATGGATTCGGACCATAAGATCTGTGGTCAAATTGATACTGAATCCTCATTATGATTCCTTATGTGTAAAAATCCTCGATCTATAATGTGATACCTAAATTGTATAGGTACCTTATTTTAGGTATAGAGTCTGCAATTTAACATGGGGGCTGAATACACAACATTATATGTGTTGTATACCTCTCAAATTAAAACTGTACATTATACCTCTCGTATGTGCTTATGTGCAGCTGAAAAGTAACATATGACTTCTGTAACACATGACTTCTGTAACATACATATGACTTTTGTAACTTCTGCAACGTATGACTTCTGTAACGTATGACTTCTGTAACGTATGACTTCTGTAACACATGACTTCAGTAACAAATGACTTCTGTAACACATTACTTCTATAACGTATGACTTCTGTAACATATGACTTCTGTAACACAAGACTTCTGTAA